GAGAGAGAGAGAGAGAAGGTATGCATACTCAGGGGCCACGCTAGTCGGCAGTGAGGGGCTGGGCCAGGCAGCAGCGGAAACGAGCCTTGCGCACGTTTGTGAGGATCTCATTTTGGGCATTTTCAAGCATCCTCACCACCTCAGAGAATGGGGGCCTTGCATCAGGATTTGCATCCCAGCAACGTGTCATGATCTCACCCAAGGCAGGGAGGCAATCCGAGGGGACAGTGGGCCTAACCCCTTTGTTCACCACCGCAAAGGCGGCCTGAACTGCGCTCATGTTTTGGAAGGGCAGTAGGCCTGTTATAAGCTCCCAAAGCACGATGCCAAAGCTGTATACATCCACCTTCTGGGTGTAGGGTCGATGTTGAATCATTTCTCTGCAAAATAAGGCATATGCATATGCGTTCAAGGAACTCGCAAGGAAGCAGAATTTGTATGAGTTCAGTAATATTTAAACTATTAGTGGAAATTGAGACTGTAGCAATCACACTCCCTATCTAGAATATGTGATATCATGCACAAGTCTCTCTCTGTCACTCCCTGGCTCCCTTCCTCACTCCGTCATACACATTAGCCCTACAGTAAACCAGCAGAGGATTCGAGCCCCAACCTGCAAACCATTTGGCGCTGGAGAAGCTGGTAGGTCAGAGTGCCATATGAATGCTAGCCACTAAAAGGACATATGTTTAAAAGTTGGAAACAGTATTATATTTGATTGGATTTTCTGTATTGGTCTAAATAGGGTACCCTACGGTTTAGATACATCAGACTTAAGCTTTTTATAAATAGACCGAAGTAGGCAAAGCTTTCATAAATACTGAATTGTGGCTTCCAATCCAAAGACAAAGCACAACCAGAAGAAGAGTAGCAACCGAACAACAGGAAATGGCACCAATAAAACAACCCAACTAGCAAAGAAGTTGACACTAGAGATGATCAGGCAAATGAAGAAAAGTAAGAGAGGTGATAAATGTGATATCAAGTTAGGTCTTTGTATAACTAGCATTGCATTATGCTTACCTTTACACCTATGTAGAGAAAAAAATGGAAGCAAAATAGGTGGAAAAACAGCCTAAGCTACATCAAAACTAAAGTTTGTAGATCTCCAACCAACAAACTCAATCGTCTCAAATACCACCTTCATCTCAACATATATTTGGGAGCATTTGCTGGAAAAGCATTATATGTTGGTGATTGGGACCACAATTAGGAGACGATCAATACAAAAAAGGGTCAACAGCATTCTTAGGTTATGCTGCGAACACGAAGTTGATGATATCTATATACGCATGGCCTAATGAAGTGTTTATAGCATTTTCTGGTTATGACTCAGGGGCAATGTTAATGACATCTTTATGTACAATCAACAACAAAAGAATCTCAATAATTGCCAAACCTAGTGTTGGATATGGTGATATCCCAAATCACTCCCATAAAGTAATCCCATATGATATGGGATTGATATTGTTATTGATTTTGACAAGTTTCCTAAGTTAGATGTGATAACCACTACATGTCATTAGGATTCTTGGTTATATTTTAAGTCCAAGACATATGTGACATCTATGGGATTCCTATATAGTATGGAATTCATAACCCTATACATATAAAATGAGAGAGGAACAAATAGGTGTGCCTCATTTCGGTCATCATATGGGAAAGGTAGCAACCTAGAGAGAGAAAATCTCCGTCGGTGTCTCCTACAGAGTTTGGTTTATTTAGACAAGTGGTTTCCATGGATATTTTGAGTGGTTTCGTCTTTCGTGAGTAAAAGCCTTGGTTGCTCTCAAGGTTCTCTTCTTGGATAGTGGTTCAAATGCAACATAGAGATGTGAGATTGATAGGGGATGTTGATCAGAAAAGCTGGTCTAAAAGGAATGCTTGATTAGATTTTGTTGAGGATTAGAGATGTAACTATATGTCACCTTGCATTGGACTCATTTATGGCTTTTTCTAAAGGGATCACCTTGCCCGTTAGGGTTCTGGTAGCTCCCAATTTTTGTAAGGGACACTAGACCCTACACTTGTACACACAATCTTACTTCAATGAAACAGTTAACTTTATAAAAAAAAAAACTATATGTCACAAAATCTGTATGTAACTCTCGCTAGTATAGTAAATTCCAGTTTATCATACTCGTGGATATAGCCCCCTTGGGGTGAACCACGAATATCTTTGTGTGTGTGTGTGTACGTGCATGTAACCCTCATCGGTATAGTGGATTTTACTTTGTCATGCCCATCGATCTAGCCCCTTGGGTGAACTACATAAATCTTTGTCTTCATGTGGTGCGCACGTTTTATGCTTTATTTCTCTTATTATGGTTGATTGGTTTCTTCTCTCGCCTATTTTGTTCATAACCTATTAGGTACACAATTCTAGTTGGATCCAACTTTTGGTGTTCCTAATTCCACATCCAAGGGGGTTCTTGAATCCCAACGAGTGGTATCAGAGCCAGATTACTTGAAAACCTAGCAAGTCAAGGAGTTTCCATATTTTGTGGAAAATCACGTGATCTTTCATGCTGGTTGTCATTTCCTTAATGTATAAGATATGCAATGAGGTTCTAAGTAAGGGATGAGGGAAATATCATGTTAAGCTATGGGATGTTGATGTTATTTAACTCCTTAAAGGAATGGGAGAAGAGATAAGGCTTACCTAGGAGTGTTTTTAGGTTTCCTCTTTATAAAAAGGTACTTTGTAGAGAGAGAATGTGAGCGCATGAAAGAGAGAAAGAAAGGGTGAGTTCTTGTAGTCCTTTGGGTGGGCGTTCTAGAGAGAGATACCCCATTTTAAGGCTTGTGAGAGAGAGTTTGAAAACCCTTGTATGCTCCACGCTTGCATGGTGTTTTTCTGATTAGTGAAATAAATTTGTAACCCTATTGATGTAGGCAATTGCCGAATCACGTAAATCTTGGTATTTCACTTTTTTTAATTTTTTGCACTAGGTATGTATTCACTTTTTTTAATTTTTTGCACTATTTTGCTTTCCCTTTATTTTTGCCTAAACCTTGGTTTTTATCCTCTACAACTAGCTCGTGAAAGGAACAAAAGTGGCCAAGCTCTAGCATGAGCATGCATATTAACACAGCATCACCTAAGCTTGACAATGGCTCTCAAGCCTACCTCTATGGGATATGACGAGAATTTATCGGTCAACCGCGGTATACACTCTAACCAAAAACATCATCCCAAAACCACCACTTTAGTGCAAAAAATCTAGAACAACTCAACTTTGTGAATAGAATCCTAAAAGCCACACTGTTCCAAAGGCAATAATATGAAAATAAATATATGTTAATTAGGAAAGCACCTTGAATACGACCACAATTCATATTTAATAAGAATAAAAAATTAAAGGAAAACAAGTACAGACCTACAAAATTGTGAACACAAGATGGAATTTGGTTGCTCCCTGAGCACTGACTCGCCTTCTAACAACAGTTGGATGTCCATTTGACTCAACAAAACCAGAGCTTTTAAATATCATACATTGTGAGGAATTAGTCCAAAGGGGGTGACGGAAGACTCAATTTAAAACACAAACAACCAGATATTTTACATAAATGGCCTTAATGTCTCCCCAAGGCTTTCAACCTATCAATGAGTGCCTTTTTCCTGCATGTAGAGGGGTGCTCCCAGAGGCTTTCTCACTAGTCTTGAAGACATTAAGGTTGTTCACCACAAATGTAACCTATCTAATAAGCTATCAGCAACCCACCTCAAGCATTTCAGTAGAATGCAAGACACATGTAGGCATGCTCAAGACTTAATTGAGGATACCCCATATGAGGGATTATCACAGTAGCAGCAACAGTATAGTAACAACAACTACAACAAGAATAATAAAACAAAAGCAGCAACAACAACAACAACAATAATAATAAACATATTTTATACTAGGGTAGCATATGCACTCCTTAAACCGATGCTATCTTTATGATTCGCATGAAAAGTGCTCCCCACCATCAAGCACTCACAAATGCATCATTGAAGTTTCAAGTAAGATCCAAATTAAATAAGATAGAAGGAAATACAAAATGTAGAGGGATAAAAAATATAGAAAGCACCTCAAACAGAACAATAATATCGCTCTCCATAAAATTAAGGAAGCCATCTAGAAAAGAAATAAATTTTCATGCTAATGAAAATATAACTAAAATCTAACAATGCAATTAGACAATTATTATTTCTTAGCCATGCATTACTCTGAGTACATACTAATCTAAGATAATGCTCTCAAGCTGGCTAATGTCATACAAGTATGTCTGTACGGTTGAGTGGAAATTACATACAATAGGTTCACTCACTGAAAGAGTAACATGATCTAAAATTTGGGCATCAGTTAAATTTATGGCATTCTCATGAAACAAGTGTAAATGCTTTGGATTGCAGCAAGGATAAGGCACTCAATGGCACTTATCAGGTGAAAGATGATTTCAGAAGGCAACATGAGCAAGTCACCCAAGACAATCTAAACAAACAACTTGCAAATGAAATGGTACTAGCTAAATATGCCTGTGTTGCACGACCTCACGAGTCATGATACCATTAATAGTTGAATCTCTCTCTCCCTACCTTTGTTTCACTTAAACTATAAACGCACTTAAATTATCTCCTCTAAGAAAGGAGGTTTTCTTTCTAAAGTCTCCACAGACACATAAAAAGAATTTGGGTTCTCCTCTCGCCTGCAAGATCTTACATTACAAGTCAACTCTGTAAATACCCCTAGTCCATCTTAAAATAGATCTTATCTTAGATGGAAAGATGAATAATCATCATCATCACAATCAGGATTCATGAAATAAATGGATAATAATATCCTTAAATACAACTATAAATAGGAACATAACTTGCAAATAGGAATCCCACCTCATCCATATTAGCTATTAGCAAGAGATAGATATTAGGAACGTCCCCCAATGTGTTACCCCAAACTTTCTTAGTAGGATGCCTATCTTATACTCTCTCTCATTAGGCCACACATCAAGTTGATTGCCATGTATCCTACCCTTAACCATGGCATAATATATACAGAATACATTATGATACCTGCAGCATGTCCATAACAGTATCTATCAGAAATATGGCACAACACTACAAACTGCAGTGCGATATTTATCTTGGGGAGGTGGAAGAGGTAGAACCAAGGTTTTAAAACTCAGCAGAGTCGACTTGCACTCGGCCGAGTTACTCATACTCGGTATCTTCCTCAGCCAAGTCTCGGGTGCAAACTTGAACATATAAATATAAAAAAATAAGAATTATAAAATTACTAAATAAATGGATCGATACCTTATTATATAATTTTGACATTTTTCTTATTCTATGTTTCTATTTTCTCCCTTTTTTGGATTTTCCCCAATTTTTTCCAGCAAAAATTCATTTTTTTCCAAATCAATCCTTTATATAGTCTTTTCCATCTTTTTCAACTTTTAATGTTGTTTATATTTCAGTTTGCCTTTTACAATTTTTTACTTCTAACAAAGTTTTTATAAATTTTTCAAATTTTTAGCCCTTTTTGGGCTTTGTACATGACTTGGGCGAGTCCACTTGGATTCGCCTGGCTTACTCAGCTCAGGCAAGAAGCATGTCTTAAGCCTGCACCAAGGTTTTGCACCCTGGATAGAACAAATAGTCCAGACTAGTCTTAACCAAATATAGCTCGCCGTTCCCACCTAACCTCAAGTCAATTAATTCTTTCAGCTAACACAACAACAAAAATTGCAAATGCAAATACACATGAGAAAAAAGCGAAGCTACCTCATGGAGTAGTTGAATCAAGGTAATAACTAACTCCAATCTCTGAAACTTACCCAATCTAGTATGGGATGGGGATCTTATTTCACTACTTTATGTGCAACAACTCAACCATGCACTTCTACTCAAAGTGGACTCCCGTCTACATAAACAATAACAAACAAAAATGTATCTGGATTTCGGTTATGTGTCGCTCTATGCAGTTACTAGTTTTGGTTTAGCTGAGTGGTGGTCTTGTGTTTCATCCCGATTTGCTTAGCTTGTTATGTAGTAATGAGATGCCATATTAATGGACTATTCTTATTCTGTTCAATATTTTTGTCTTATCGACTATAACCAAGAAAGGGAAAGTCCATTAGCCACATGCACAGAGATATATCAGAACATGCAACACAAATGGCCAAACGGAGGAAAGGATGGACAACAGATAAATGATTAATAAAGTAGTCCATGTGTCAAGAGGCCATGACAACAAACACATCCAGTAACCAGTTTCAAAATTCCAACTTGTGTAACAATAAATGGAGAAAAATCTGAACGGAAAATCCAAAAATATAAACAGGAGGTCGATTAGGAGAACATTAAGCAGCCCATGGAAATAACTTAGACCTAAAGTCCAAAGGAATATGCATATCCAGATTAGTAGACAAACTAGAACCGGACCACTCCGAATCACATTACTGCAACTCCTAAAAAATATAAAATCACTGCCTATGGATTCGATATGGTAATGGACATTAATTGTCATAAACAGAACTTAGGCAATAACAGGGATAGAATGGCAAAGTATGAATACTGTACAGAAGGCTATTAAAAAGTGGTTTCTAAGTCATTGACAGACGATTGGGTTGAATAAATATTGGAGAATACAGAGAAATGCAATCTTATGACATGTAAAATCTTGTTGCAAACTACTTGTAATGGCATATTACATATAACTGCTAAGATAGATGACTACATCCGCACACATTACACCCAGCCAAGATATTGTATTTTCTTATATCAATTTAAGCATGCAGCATCTCAAATCTATAATGCAATCAGAGTTTTAAGGGAAAAAAGAAACACTTGAATTTGCAAGCAATACTCCAATTCCAGGATGAAGTGAGCAACCTACCACCGAGTCCCACCCTTCATTATTGTTCAAGATACATTGAGTTAAAATAAGAAAACGCCAATATAAAAGGCAAGGCTTCATGTAAAGGACTAAACTTGACATTTTTTAAGGATAGTTAACCAAATCAAACCAAACTTGCCATTTGTAATATAAATAAATAAAATTAAAATATAACTAAAAATAAATAAAAAAGAACCCACATATAAGCATCATACACAACAGACAAATAAAGAAATTTGAAGATACTTACGGTGCCATCCATCTATATGTGCCAGTTTCAGGAGTCATCCCCTCTGTTTGCACCTCGATTCTTGCCACCCCAAAATCCGCGATCTTTATTGACCTGTCGGTGGCTATCAACAAATTATCGGACTTGAGATCCCTGTGTATGAACCCAAGTCCATGAACATACTCCATTCCTCTAGCAACATCCAAAGCCTGCTTAACTGCAAGTTTTAAAGGCACCGACCGATTCTGCCTCCTCGTCAAGAATTGCCTGACCGACCCACCCTTTGCATACTCTGTAACTATACACCAGAGCACTGGCTTTCTACAAGCCCCAATAAACCTCACAATATTTGGGTGTTTTAAAGTGGCGAGCATCATGACTTCTTGAGCAAATTGTTGCTCCATGAACTGGCTCTTCTCAGGGCTATTCTCAGGCCTCTCTAAGATCTTTATTGCAACATCTTCCCCATTATAAGTGCCCTTATAGAGCTTCCCAAAAGCCCCTTGAGCAAAGGCCATCTCAATATGGAGATTCCTCAAATTGATGGTCCATTCATCATAGTGCTCAAGCCCTTCTGTTGGGTATCTATTGTCCATTAGAGCTTGAACTAAGGCATCGTCCCCACGCGTATGGGAAGCTGTATTGGGTTGGAGCACACTGTGACCAACTGAATAGCCATTAGTCATGGTTCTTATGCCTTCATGCATGCGCATCATGGGTTGTGAATCTGTTGAGCCCACACTACTCTCAACCATGATGCTTTCTCCACCACCAGTACTGGTTTGTAAGCTCCCAACACTGTCAACTGACATATCAGACACATACCCAATTCTCTTGTACCCATCAGTGAATCCATAGAAATTGTCATCGTTGTGGCCTATACCAGTGAATTTTGCCCCCTCCACCATTTTTGCAGCTCAAAAACTAAGAATCAACTGATGTACTCTTGCTTCATGTGTTGTGCTGTAGCCAGAGACCTCTAAAAAGCCAGAAACTTTTGGGATAATATTATACCGAAACCCAAAAATAGAAAAAGGTCATAGAATCAATTGGGTTTTGGAACCAGGCCACTGAATTGATTTTGCTAATTCAGAAACCTCAGCAAAAAACCCAGATTCCAGATAAGTAGGTAGCGTTCAGACACTCAAACGCTTCCAGATTAGAAACACCAAAAAGCTCCAAAAATCCACTAAATATTACGGTAAAAAACTCTTCAGTTTCATGTTCCTCTAGCTAGTTCAGGCCACTCAATTGCAATGGTCTAAAGACAACAAAAACCTCGAGCTTGGCCCAAAGAACAGTAATTAAATTAAAATTCCAAATACAACAAAAAAAACCCTAATTCTGTCCCGACAACAGCTGATTCTGTACCCCTGACTCCCAGAAAACCTAAATCCCTGATCTGCAACCAGTCACCCTGTCAATTCCCTCACAAATATCAAAACAAATGACCCTTGAATGGGGACCCTACTACTCAAAACGCAACAAAAATCACTAACTTTTACACCACACAAAACCCTAACCCCTAGAACTCCACAAACCTATGATCTGCAACTCCTTCCCCGCTCTGAAAACCTAACCCAAGAATTTCACAAATCCCTGATCCTCGGCTTGTTCCCCACTCCAAAGCAGTCAACCGTAGAATTTAACGAATCCCGGATTCCCACCTGTTACCCATCAATACAACCCCAAATTTCCACTACTAATAAACAGTAAATGATCTCATAAAACCCTAGATTTTCAGGACCATCACAGCTCCCGCTCTACTGCACCAAATCGCCCAAAAAGTAACTCGATCGATAGGGCATCTCAATCTGAACGCAAATATAATGGAAGTAAGAGAGATGAAGCGATCGAGAGAAGAGATCGACTTACCAAACGCCGGTCGAAAATGGCGGTCTCTGCAAAAGCTAAGGCGAAGACCAGAGAGTCATCGCCTCTTTGTTCTTGCACTGGTTTTTTATCTGGACCCAAATTTAATATAAATAATTATTTTTTTTGGGTGCATTTTCCCTTTTTTTCCTTTTTTCCTTCTTTTTCATCTATAGAGGGGAATTTTCCGGTTCTCTTTCGTCATTTCTCTACTAATATTTTTTTATGGAATTACTTATTGATTTTGGTCGTTGATTTATCCAATGTTTTTGTATTAGGGTTGGAAATACTTTGCTTTAAACAATGTTGACTCTTTTGTTCGTTTAGAAAACGGCAGTCTCTTTGAAGATAAATGACTAAATCAACCTTGGTCCATAGTAAATAGCAAGTGTGCCCCTTTGGACATTTTAATAAAATTGTAACGAATATCTCTCTCACTTTTCTATTTTTTTTTAAAGATTGTGTATTATGATTTATTTATTTTTAATTACACATAGATTATTCCAGTTAATTGGAGTAGTAGGATTGAAAAAAGAAAAGGGGAAGGCCAAAAAAGATGTGGTTAAAGGTAGTGTGAAAAAATATAGAGATTTATGGTTTTACCGAGTATAGCCTTGAACAACTTTAAATAGAGCAGAATGGTATATCAGAATTAGTGTAGTCGATCGTGATTAATTGGAAACAGTTATGATGATGTTGACATATAGATTATATTGGATGAAAAATTCAATAAAAGAAATTGTGTCACAACCTTATAAAAAATTTATTTTAGATTTTGTACCCAAACAATAAAACATCCTCAATTACCTAATTATAAATCTAATGATTGATAATAATTGTTACCTCTTGATATTAAAAGTAAATGGTCTCATTGTATACATTTTATTTTTATTAGGTTCACTATACATTAAGGGATCATTACTGGTGATAATAATGAAACTCAAGACATCAGATTGTGGTGCCCCGCTATCCTAACCACCTAACATTGAGCCCATTCTTTTTACAATCGTCAAGGCACTGTTGAAAACATGAGGGTTGCCGATAATGTAAGGCACAGACTCTATGATAAAAAAAATACAATATGGTTTCATTGTTGAAAACTTTTAAGACTGCCAAAAAGAGTTATTTTTGCCTTGATTAACAAATTTGAAGTTTTGGAGATGGTGCAAATCTTATGGATCAACGAACATTCGAAAATCGATGGCTCTAGGAATGTGTTATAATATGTATTATTTTATAAACTTTAAATCTATTTTTTTCAAATAACCCAAAGTGATTATTTATAATTTTCAAATAGATTTTAGATGTAGCTCTGCTTCATACGGAAAAACCTAGGCTTTATACTAATTTTTTAAAGCCTTTCAATGACAAATGAGACTCTAGATTTATTGAAATAATTGGTTTTTGTTTTTTAACTATGAGAAAAGTAAGTGGTCACAATTAATCTTGACCATTAGATGTGAAATTGGGTGTCTACATTTATTTTATTGATCAAGCTAAAAGTTTAAAAGAGACTTTCTTTAACTTTGGGACTCATGCAAGCCGATAAATTTCACATCAGATGGTTATAAGTAATTGTGACATCTTTAACTATTCTTTAGTTCACAACGAATGAATTAAGAAAGCAAGAATCGCCATCACACTTTATTATAGGGATCGATGGCTCTCAACTGATAGGAGATCATATCAACAAATCTTTTAATTTTGTTTATTTTTTCTCGAAATGCTTGTCATTTTGGTTTTCATTTTTTGCTATATTATTGAGTGGCATTTTTGTTGATTTCATTTTTTGGAAAAGTTTTTCATGAATGCCTACGTGCATCTGCCGTGATTTTCGTGAAAGTTAGAACTTTAGGCATTTATGAAGCCTTTTTAGATCCATTTTCACTTTATTTCTATGAATTTGAAGCCCAAAAAATAATGCACTACTCCAACTCCATATATGAAACTCTGAAATGAATAATAAAAAAAATGAAATTAGAGCTCCCAAAATAATGCAAGTCTGAGTATAATACACCTAAATGAACGGTCAATATTGTTTCTATTTTATTTGTATATTTGTGATCGTGGTGGTCAAGATGACGTGCTTGCAGAGTTTTGGATCCTCGATCCATCTCCAAGATAGATTTAGAAGTTGGACGCCCGTTATTTTAGGCGATACTCACACATCAAAACGTGAAGAAAATATTAGCCGTTAGATTTAGATGTGGGATGATCAGGATTAAGCACTTAATATGCACCACAGACCTACGGTGTATGCATACTTTCCCTTGTTCACTCACCATGGAAGACTTTGTTCATTAGTTAACATTCAATGTTCACATTGAAATTTAAAAGTGTTAACAAAGTTACAATTAGGCTAATCATGCTTTTCTTACCATTATTTTGAGAGGGAATC